TCTAATCGATTGGTTAATTATGTTTGCAATTTGAATTAAGATTTGTCAAAATGAAAAATGCATTAGTTTAGGGATCAATGTCGACCCTACACAAGGCCTTGCGCAATACGTTTAGAGGGGTCAACCTAGACAAATAACTTTGAGTTCAAACATTAAATTTTGTTCAGATGTTGTTCTTTGATCTTGTCGTGGTCTTATCAACGAGTACGATCCTTGTGGGATTCGAGGATCTTGAGAATTTATGAATCGTGTCCGTTTATTATACATTGTACAATCAGAAATCATTTTAAATATTTATATTTAAAAATAAATATAAATAGTACTTAACAAAAACTGATCGTACCATGTACAATAAACGGACATGATTCAAGAATCCTCGGATCCTGTTGGCTTATGAACTAGTTTATTTATTATTTTTAATGTGAGCGATGTATTAAAAAGTAAATTGAACTAGAAATTTCAAGTGATGGGGATGAATTTGACAAGTTCATTTGTTATAAAAATGGCGCGTTCAAGATGTGTTTATATGAGCCACTTGAACTTGAAAATGCGAGTTCAATAGTGTATCTAACTAATTTGTTAATTAGAATCAAGGGTGAGCTCAAGTTGTTGTGTTTACAAAAGCTCAAAGAGGTGAACTAAATTTAAAATGGCTTTTTAGTTAAAATAGTTCATAAGATTTGGAAATTATAGAATTAATTTCTGGAGTTGTCTACCATCAATCATTTTAGTTTTTGTGTGAAAAAAATCTTCATTAAATAATGATAAAATGACACAAAAACCTTTATTTTTTGTCATATCATTTTGGCTCATTGTCTATTAAATTAAAGGTATTTTTGTTATTTTCGTCATTATTTAAAATAATTTTATGAATGACTAAAATGATTAATGGTGGACAAACTTAGATGCCGCTTCTATCGATTTCAAATTTCAAGTTCAAAAATAAGAAGTTATGCTAATTTTTTAGACCAGTTTAACTAAAAAGCCTTTAAAATCTACAAATGACTTTGTCTTGTTTATTTATTAAAATTAAATAATCAAAATACACTTCGGGTAAGTTTCAAACATCGCGTCACTTTGAAATCCTTTTTATACGCCAACTATGAGTATTAATCACAATGCTGACGTCAATAAATTAGCAACTAATCAAAGTATAATCAACATTACCTCCAATTTAAATAAAGTATTGGTGGATCAGGTGTATGATTTAAAAATTATTGTTTATTTATATAATAAGCATAAGATCACATCTTATCTTGATTGTTCTTCATCATTACGGAATGTAATGTATAGAAAAATAAAATTAATACAAAAATGGTTTTTTTTACATTCAAGAGAATATTTCGTGAGTTCAAACTTGAATGACGACTCAAAAGAGTATCTTTATTTAAAAAAGGCAGCAACAATGTTTTTCAATTGAAAAACTAAATTTGATATCGCATAATAAGAATTAGCAGCTCTCACCTTGTTGCAAAAATTAACAGCAGCTTCAAAATTTTAATTAATTATTAGATACATTTATTAATTTTATTAGAGAAATGCTAAGAAGATTCTCTTAAAGTAGACTCTTCCTGAATCCCTTTACAAATCATGTACATAATGTTTTATATTGTTAGCATGGAAATTAACGTTAAAATGTAAGTTATGAGGTGACAGAAAGTTCATAAAGTCTCACTTTGACTATATTCTCAACATTTCTCATTTTATTACTGTTTTTTGTTTTAAATATTTATTATAACAATTTAATATAATAAAATAATAATTTAATTTGACATATCAGGTGAAAAACAAAATTTTAAAAGATGTAAAAGTGCCACATGAATTTTTGACAATCTCATTCGCAGATGCTTTAAATCACCTAGAATTTATGTGATTAAAATGGTTGGTGACCTAACTCTAACAATATTTCGAACAAGGTGGTCCGGGCTGCAGAAGAAAACTCTAAAAATAGTAAAACAAGTGAATTTTTTTCTAGAAAGTAAAAGTAGTGAATTTTTTTGGAAATTCTTTTCTTTTAACCCAAAATAATTGACAAAGTTCATGTGAAAAATAGTCAAATTTATGTATTTATTTTTATGTTGAAGCGAACTTTCTTGTTCCTTTTTTTAATAACCAGAAAGAAAAGTGAAAAGGACCCTTCACGTATGATATTGAAATTTGCAAAGGCGCGGCTTGACCTGGTACCTAATTAGTATTCACATCTCACGCCCAAATTGGCGAGAGAAACCAAGACATTAAAGTGACAATATTGAAAGCCTATTACATGTCGTATTGTTCTATCTAGGTAGGTTGGGATGGATGGTTTATATGTATTAACTTATTTACATGGTATTGCGTGATTAGTTTGATAAACAGTCAACTAAGTTAGATTGTTGCAGCATTGTTGTTGCAGTGGTGTGAGTTTAATGATTGTTAGAGCGATATTTCGTAAAAATCAAACTCAGGAAACCCATATATTATTCTCAAAAATTGAACTCACTCATACTGAACTTGATTTTATTGATACACTATTGTGATTCTAATATAGCGTCTTATTTACATGTAAGCTCTTCTCCAATCAGGACCCACTAAAGCCTCAACTACCAACTAGGCAACTACACCTACAAAAAAAGATGGTGTCCAACATTCTCAAAAATCCCAAATAACTTAAAAGAGTTGTGATGAACTGGTTGCAGCATTTGTGGAAAGTAGGTTATCGTCCACCATGAATGGATAGGCATAACCTCTTTAATACCAAGACTTGTTGGTTCGTTTATTTACTTCTTATAAGACAGTGACATGTTGACAAGGAGAAAATTTTCATTTTGATAGGAATATGGATGATACATCACGTCTTTTTATGTAAATGGTGGGAAATTTTGTTTTTAAGTTATTAACTTTTTTTAACACACAAATCTCATTATTTGTATAGTGACACGTGGCGTACCACCTCGTATGTTGATCATACTGAAAAATCTCTCGTTCACAAGAGGGAAAGCTCAACGTCTCTTCAGATTTCTCGTCCTGCTATATCCCTGTTGTATGTTAGAATCTCCACAACTCGAGTGTCGGAAAGAGCCTCGGTCTTATTCAGAAATGCAACGAGACATGAAATTCTAACGTAGATAAGATTCTTAGGTTTCCACAATAAAGAAAGACACGAATCAATCCACAGGATGTTTTCAAAATTGTATGAAAAAGGATAAAGGGGTCAATAGGTTTGGTACAATACACGTTTAATCATGTATGCTGCTGGAAAACCCTAAATATAGAATAAGGTATCTCTTCCAAGTTACATTGCTTGCAATAAAAGAAAAGTTCGGAAGCTTTTAACTATGTTAAATCTGGAAAAAAAGGGAAAACAAAGGGGGAAAAGTCAGTAGAAAGAAAGAATTGAGGTCATCGGTATTTTTTCGAACGATCGTCGCTTACCAACCTGGAAATACGAGTACAAATACATGGGACGGGACTGAATACGCAATCCTTTCTCTTTAAACGTAGAGTATGACTCGTTTGAAAGTGCTTTTAGAATGATTGAAAGTGTTTTTGGTGAAAATGTTTTTGAAACCAGCCTCGAGTAAAAATTCAAGTAGATCCTGGATAAGCTCTTGAACTGCTTCCTCTGTAAACAGGACACTTGCTTTTTCAGCACTGTTGAAAATCTGCAATCTGTGAGAACAAAAGAACTGGTTTAATGGGTCCTTCACATGGAAATTGGCAAAAAGGGACTTACAATTCTGCATGTATGTACGGATAGAACATAAATTCAAGTCCGAAATCTTGATACTGGTAGTTCCATCGTGTTGGAGCCAACACACATGGCCACGCCTCACGCAGTACAATATCTACAGAATAACCAGCAGAACAACTTATTCACAGTTAAAAGGGAAAATTTTAAACACGAACTGTAGACTTCTAAAGAGGGTCATGACATCCTAATTCGTCTTTCGGTCATCTTGTTCGTGATCCCTGATGCATCATTAAGTCTATTTGATCTGTCATAGATGCTGGCAACAACGAGATGTAACTCGTTGATGTTGGGATCAGAGATCAGCCTCTCAAACAGTGCCTCTACCATCTTAAAATCTTTTCTTGCACCATAGAGACTATGCATGCGTCAGGAAAGTGAACTTCGTCGGCAAAAACACACCCTTCTTCCTGCATCTCTGCCTTCTCAAACTCTCGTAACTTTCCATAAGCATTGAGAACTAGATCAATCACATTGGAAGCAGGAAACTATCCTGCCACTCTCGTCTTCTCAAACACCTCAATGCAATTCACGTACTTCTGGTTTCTTGAAAAAGGGTCAATCGTGCAACCAAAGACTGATATATCCTTCACCTCCCCGGCCTCAAAAGCTTGACGGAAAACCCATGTAGCCTCTTCTATGCGACCAGCTCTAGCAAGAATTGTAATTGCAGTCCCCCTAGGGATGTTGTCTGGGCGCTTGAGCTCATGAAGTAAACGCTTAGCATGAGCAACCAAACCTAATTTATCATAAGCCACAATCACCTGATCAATCTCAACCCCGGATCTCCTTAGCTTTTGAAACAGCATTGCTGCCCGATCAAGTTTCCCAGCCTTAATCGTTGAGTATGTAATTGCATTTAGCTGAACCCCTCTCCTGCATTTCTTGCACAAGATTTGTAGCCTTTTCATGTTCAAGTGACTTTCCATAAATCTTGATCATTGTATTGTAAGTGACAACCTTCTGCTCAATATCCGTTCTCTGCATCAACAGGAAAAGATGGCTTCCTGGAAAAGCTTCCACCTTACAGTAGTAGAGATTTGAACTTCAGTCGATAGGATGGAGCACATCCGCTCTAGCCAATGTAGAAATTGATTAGTTCCAACACGATTAAATTCCAAATACGTTTGTAATCTTGTAGCTTAGACATAGTTCTTGTAAGATCAATTGTATAGCATTTGGTCCATGATGTTTGCAACTTGCTCTCATCCGAACGCATTCATCAAGTTCTGTTGATTTCTTGTATGAAACTAGTTAAATTAACCCTCGCCTATGCTGTAAACTTAAGCTTGTTGTACAATAAATTCATGGAAGTTTATAGATGTCCTCAAATTGGAATAGTATGCAGAAGTTAACAACTTCTTTTCTTTAGCTTATAAAATTACAAGTGAACACCGAAACGGAAGCAACAATGTACAGAAGATGATCAATAGCTCCAGTGTTAATGGATTGTTCAACCGCCCTGTGCTTGAAGGGGAAGGAGGAGGAGAGGGAACAGATTTTGGAGGGGAAGAGGATGTAACATTCTCTATGGAGCAAGTGTAGTTGCAGCGGCTAGGCTTAGCAACTCGATATAAGCCGCTGCTGGTCAGCATAAAGATGTCTTTCCTGTTATCCTGACCAAATGAGAATATGAACCCTAATGCAGTGACAGAGCTTCCTGCCTCGGCACCGCACTGGATAGGAGAGTCCAGAGCACAACTGACCGCGATTTTAGCGGTAGTGAAGTTTCCGCTACCTTCGGGAGTTTCTAATCCTGTCCATATAGCACTGGCATACAAATCTGCATAAATATACCTGCAAACATAATTTACATACTGCTGTGAAGGGTCATGAACGATGTTTCTAGAGTAGGAAATCTCATCAGATGTTGTAGTAGACCCTCAAAGTGGTGCTACACCACTCGACGGGACATGATAACCGAAGAGCTGTGGTATCTGCAGATGTTCGTATTGAGCTTACCTTCCATACATGCACGGATCTGTTGTGGATCGGTAAAAGTAGCCTCCTGTGATCGATGCAGATTCTTCAGCCTTGTTGACTTCAGAGTGTGTGTATCCCATTACAGGGAAAATTGGGTTAATGGAGCTGGCAGATGTATTTCCTCCCGGAGATTTAGGGGGATTGTATCGAAAAGGCCCCTCGTAAACACGCCATCCATAGTTTCCGCCCTTGGTGACTAGATCAACCTCTTCGTACTGATCCTATACAAACAATAACTTGAGCATTGATGATACCAGAAGCTTGCAATAAATGTGCAGAAGGCATGTTTATATCGGCGAACGTACAAAAACTAATCTCAGTTACTACCTGACCAACATCTGCACAAAGGAAGTAGGAAGGTCTTTCAAGATCAAAACTACATCGCCAAGGATTTCGAAATCCTAAAGCCCAAATTTCCGGCCGCAGTTCCTCATCTTCGGTAAAAGGATTATCTCCAGGAACAGAATAATTTCCCCATAGGCCAAGGTCAGCAATTTCTTTTGCACCTGCAAACAAGTATTACATAACTGAGGAAAACCTACGAAGAATATGGTATCCGAAAGCCTTTTAAATTTTTATTTTTGCCATTGCTCACTTGGTATGTTATCGATGTCGAGCCTCATAATCTTTCCAAGCAAGGATTTTTTGTTCTGTGCGAAATTGTAAGGATCACCTATGCTTCCACCGTCTCCCATCATGAAGTACAAATATCCGTCTTTAGGTCCAAACAGAATTTGACCTGCATGATGGGTAGTAAATGGAAGGCCCATGGTGAATATTCTTCTGACTTCAAGTGGTTTTACACTAGCGAACTGAAATCCAGGGCAAGAACAGTATCAATTAGCAATGTTCGCATGTAAAGTACGTGAAATAACGCTTGAATCATGCAGAAATTTACCGACGAAGGTTGTGGCGTGGTAGCATTGGCAGTGAACTCTGCTATGATACTGTGGTACTGACATGGCTGCCCACCATTATCCGGTTCCAGCTTCGAAGGATCGCATCCCACATCAGAGTTACATGAGCATCTTCCTGAACATTGTGGCCATGTAACCTTGTCACAGTTGAATGAAGCAAAGAAACGGCCATTTTGGACATAGTTAGGATGAAATGCTAATCCCATCATTCCAAGCTCAGTGTCGGAATATACTTGATCTGTTATGTCAAGAAAGGGATTTGCTTCGTCGATCACCAATGTTTCTCCTGATTCTTCCTCCGGAACAGTTGCCAGCCATACTTTACCTGCTTGGTCGGATAAGAAAACACGGTTTGACCCATCGGGATGGGCTACCATGTTGAGGTACGATCCATTTCCAATTTTTTCAAGGCACATACCACTCGGGGGACTTGGAATTTCAGTGCTGTTGAGCAACACAGGTCCACCATCAAAACAGAACGATTCATCATTTGAAGATCCACCAAACGCGTTGCAAAAAGCAGTTTTTGACTGCCATGTATCACTCAGCTTGGAAGTAGAATTGGACGGAGTTCCACCTCCAACTTGCAACGAAAATGGAGAGTTTAACAATGCTACATTTTGGCATTCATCCCAGACCTTGGAACAAAAGTCAACTCCACCAGGTTGGTGCTGTGATGAGTTGCAGAGGAGAGGAACTTGTCGAGGCGCTGATTCAAATCGATATAGCTCAGCAGAAAACTGATCACATCTCTGCAAAGCATGTCGTATTCAAATACACATGAACCGGTGCCAACGGTTCCATATCACTTAACACAGTAGCTAGCAACAAGAAGTAAACAAGCAAAGAATCTCTTACCGAGCAAAGTATTGATTTCACAAGAGAAGCACAACCAAGATCAGAAACATTCATTGCCTTAAATAGATTCTGCAACCGCAAATCCTCAGCGGAATCACAGCAAACGCTACCATTGTATCGACAGAAATTAAGCGGAGTCTTCGGCGTGATGGGTGATCCTATTCCAAATTAAACCGGCAAAGAAATTAACTCGCAGGGAAACGAAAACTACAAAATGCAGAAGTCGGCTTTTTTTCCGAACAACGAAACAAAGCATGTAGAAATGAAAAGGGCAACCAGATAATAGATTTTAGGAGATAAACACTTACTCATATTTGTACACAAGGGAAGGGAAGAAGAATAATCAGTAAGCAGAAGCATGTTACAGAACACGAACACGAAAATAGCGAAAAAACCACTCATCTTTCAGAACAGATAAGTAATCACTGACAGCAACGACGAACAAAACCCGAATTTCTATATCTTTCCAACAGAGAGTTGAGATTACGCAATGATGAACACATAAAAAATTGGAAGCTAGGTTAGGTTAGATTAGGTGGTCGTCACCACTCTATCACCTTGTCTAGTTGGCGAGCTGTGATTAATTACCACCTTTTTCCTTGATTTATAGCTGCTGCCATTTTTAAAGAGAAGGTTGAGGTGAGTGTGCGTGTTGCCAGTTGGTTCTTGCAGCCCCTCAATCTCTCTCCGTCTCCTATATATCTTCTTGTAACTTGTAAATCTTTTTCATGGTGGAATATACAAATCTTATACCAAAATTCAACATAAAAGCACCAAATACAATCTAGTTGGTTTTCTTTTCTCCTTTTTATCGGTAGTTTCTTATCGTTTTGTTGGGCGACATTGTCGTCTTTAGCACCAAACCAGAAACCGTTGACGTTTTTCTGATTTGAAAATCCATGGATTGAAGCTTCAGAAAAAAATCAATTAAAAAAAAGCAAAAATATATCTTATAATTTTGTAGGAATAAATAATAGCAATGCGGCAATTTCTTATCAGTTGACTTTACTCGACAATCTTAAACATATAAGCAAAGAACGCGGCAAGTTGACTATTTGAACGTACTCAACAGCAATAGGATAATAGTGAAATTTAGATATGGTTGAAATCATTGGCTCTTTCTTTTTGCTCGGATGACTTCCTTAAGGATATTTATTACGTTTCAAATACAGTACAAAGATTGGGTTTGGTTATACAAATAATTGGGTTTAGCAACCGGAGCTATCATTTTGCATGTGGTGCACTATTAAAGTGAATAGAGTGTTGGATTTGTATCTGGTTCAATAACTAAGTAGATAAAGTGTTGAATTTTCAGCCATAAATTACTCTAGAAGAAAAATTATGCATTCCAATCCTCCCGAAAATGGGAGGGAGGATTAGAAAAGAGAAGTTTTCTTCATGTCTAATTCATCATCTCAAAATGAAAAATCATTCTCCTTTCCATTTAAAGCTTATTAATTGATTTGCCCCCTAAAATTGTAATTTAGTCTCATTTACCCTTAAAACTTGTTTTGTCTCACTTTGCCTCCTGAAACAGCCATTACTGTCTGCACACCATTTTTGTTCATTCCGTCAAATAGTTACTAAATTAAAAAGTAGTGTGAACATTTCATTTTTTTACGTAGGCAGAGATAAGCCCCATGCTTGGGGATGTGACACTTACATGTGAATTTTGGTTGATCACCACATATTTACCAGCCGCATGTGAATTGTGGCAAAAAAAGTTGGAAAACAATTAGGGTTAAGTAAAAGAGGATAAAGGAAATTGAGCTTGCGGGTCCAGTCCCAAAGTTCAATCTCAACTAATGTCCATATTAATTTAAGGCATATTTGACCGAATTGACAAAAATTGGGTGAACTGAGATTAAATGAGATGAAAATAGCAATTTTGGTGGGCAAAATGAGACAAAACAAATTTCATGGGTAAAATGAAACTAAATGCCAGTTTCATAGAGCAAATCAATTAATAATCTTACATTTAATAGGTTATACATTTCAACCTCCCTAAAGACATAAGCAGTTGACTACGACACCATCAAGCTCTCCTGCCCATGGCAAGGATAAAAGTCAAAGGTATTAAAGATATGATTAATTACTAAATTCTATCTTGAATACTCTCCTAATTGAAGATCAACTCAAACAAGCATGAACTCCAATCATATACAATCAAGAATATTTCCAAGATAATATTCCCAAGATATTATCTCATAATTAATATCCTTGGATTATTCTTCCTCCATCCATCCTATAGATGAATGCCAATCGAATGTTGCCATGTGTAGCAAAACCCTATATACATAGCCGGCCCTAACTCTATAAATACCTCTTGCTACGCACTTAAGTCCTAAACTCTCTCTCCAAAGAAACTGACTTAGGCATCGGAGTTCCATTGAGCCATTGGCCAACCCCTCATCTCGTGGGCGTGTGTGACTTTGGCCTTCATCAAATGTGTTATTTTGTTTTGTGTTGCAGGTACAATTTCGTTAAGATTGAAGAAATTTGCTACCACAACTTTGATTTTAACAAAAAAAATAACATTACACTGATAAAATTGCAGAGTGTTTGAGAGAACTTGGTAGGAGAAATATAGAAGAGGGCAATGAACATTTTAAGTGCATTTCAATCTTCTCCAAAAATGGTTGAGTAAAGAGCTAGCCTACATCTCTTATTCAATGAATGCGTACGTGGAAACAAATAAACAAAATTGTTGAGCTTTGAACACCAAATTTGCAAACAAATGAAAAAAAAATAAGGAACTCGATTGTTCTGAAATTACTTGAATTACTTCAGTTGTCTTCTAGCTATAGCTACTTCACACTCGTTAGACTGAAGCATGCTGCCGCACTCTTGAGATCATTTGAGACATGTTCGATCGATTGCGTGGTACCCTTGAACGATGATTCAGCACTGCATATAAGTAAATTTAATTTGTTAGACAGTATAATTATCATTATTATTTTATGTAAGCAATATTTTTCTATGAAATCATCTAAACTATGGTGCAGAAAGGGAAGAACATTGACGTAGCTAACTAGGCTAAACAATCAGCAATTAGACAATTGGCTCATTTGGAAGTGTTTTGAAAATTACTAAAAGCGTTTTTGTTGAAAATGTTTTCAAAATCAATCCCTAATAAAAATTCAAGTGGATCCTGAAAAAGACTTTAAGTACTTCCAAGAAGCACATAAAAACACATAGTGATTTGGTACTCAAAATCAAATTTATCAAAAGCGTTCGAAGTGGATCCTAAAAAAGACTTTAAGTGTTGCTTCTTTCGAAAAATACTTACACTGATTCAGTTTCACCAATTTAAAATCACTTCCAAATGAGCACAATTAGTAAATTAAATCTCAAATTGTAGAAGACAATTAATTAAATATTGTACATACCTAGACTCACAGGCTTCTTTAGATTCGATATAAGATTGTCGATCATCAGCAATTGTATCAAATGGAATGTCATCATAGTCATGAGGAACGTCCATTTCTTGGTGAACAGGAAAGGCTTGTGAAGAAACCAAACTAGACTGAACAGCCATAAGTTGTTCGACATTGTTATCGTTATAGTAGGGATGTTGAACCCTAAGAGGTTTAACCATATTATCATTGTCGTCAATATAAACCCCATTAAGTCCATTTGCAAGATACTCATTACCCACCCAGGACATTCCACCACTGGCACCAGCAGCGCCAGAAGCATATTGATACGGATATTGATGTTGTTGATAAAGTGTCAGAGTCGCCGCGTCGGTGTTTGTAGGTATACCTAGCTGCAACTGCGGTGAAGGAGAAGAGTAGTGCGGTGAGGAAGAAGGTAGTCGATATTGACATTGGTCCTTGCAAATTGCAAGATTTGTCCTCACATATCGAAGCTCTTCTAGGGCTTGCTGTAATTGGAAATTCAATTGGTTTATGATGCCCATACACCCGGTGACTGAAAATTTGGCACGCATATTGGACTCGTATATGATCGATGTCATAGCCTCCTCCTCTTGCTCTGGATGAACTTTCTTTAGAATCTTCATTATGTTCGAAACGCCATACAATCGGTGGGCGTTTTGAAACATCATCGGTTGATCTGCCGGGAAGTGTGGAGCAAGAGCGCAGTCCTTAGCGCACTTTCGTCTATGGTATTTGCACGCAGCACAGGCTTGGCTTGTGCCTCCTTTTATCGTCATTGCAGGGTAGAATGTAAATTCATCAACTTTTTTGATGATCATCAAAACGCAGGTTGAATAACTTGATTGGAGAGAGGGAGAGAAAGAGAAACATGGAAAGATAAAATTGATCGGAATTATAAGGCCGGAAAACTGATCGAAATGAATAAGAATATGCGATCTATGGCTTGGTTTTGATCATCAAAACGCAGATTTGATCGATCTGCGATTGATGAGAAGAGGTGGATTAGAAGACCAAGTAAAATTTGAACGTTTCTCTATTCAAAAGTAGATCTTGTTGAACTGATTTTTACGTATCTCGGGAGTCATATTTATACACAGTTGCACGGTTAGCTTGGGAGGTTTGGTAATTTTCCGCTGTATTTATGTATATATATATGTGTGTGTGTGTATATATATGAAAATCATGCCCCTCTTCACTTTGTTGTGATAGTGACGTGAGCTAACCAAAGCTAGCTAGATGTCTTGGATGATATTTAAGTATGTGCCAAAATAAAAAAAAATTAAGGAGAAACACCATCCACAAATTACACGAAAAAAATATGATAGAAGAAAGTATAACCCTTAAACTCGAGTAAGGTTTGGTAATTTTTTTGTGGACACAAACTGTTTGTACCATATTTTACCTTGCCTTTGGCAAAGAGTGAAAAACAAGTAGATTGTATCAGTTTCATAGTACTTAAAAGTCTGAAGTTCTAGTCTCCCTTCATTACTTTTGTCTCACATTTGAAAAACATGAGATAAGTGCATTATCAATCAAACTGTATATATGTATGATCATGATAATCGAAATCAAATATGATCATGATAATCAAAACGAATACTATTAAATATTTATGTACATATATGTGAGTCCTATTGCTTGCAAAAAGATTTAAAATTATAGTCTCTTTGGTGAAAAACATATCATTTCTTACGTATATATGACCTATAAGTCTTAATTAAATACCCAAAATGTCTTATCTTTTTTCTTCTTTGCCCATTCAAATAAGTATTTAGAATATCTTTCGTCTGCATAATCAACCTAATTAATTAAGACATATTATAGCTTAAGTAAAATTTAAATTAGGGTTTGATCGTCATGTGAAGTTTGAGTACGTTTTTGGAGTGCAAAGTAAGGACTTGGCGACCAAGTTGTATAAACTCCGTAACATCCACGCAGTCTGCTTCCCGTAGACAACTGCAACGATAAAATACATACCATAAAATTGTTTAGGAAGTGGTTATGTTGGGTACGGAACCAATACAAGCCAAGAGAGTTACCCCACATTTATCTTCTACTATATTGAACGATTAATACTCACCACACGTTTTTTTAATATGAGTAATATTCAACTCTAAATTCATCCAAATTATGCATACATACGTAGAAGATTCGAACTTCTCTAGTCAAATTTATTTTTAAAACGGAATTAGTTGGTGGCTTCGTTAAAATAATCTATTTTTTTTGGTGTTCAGAAAGACTCATACAATTATTTTAGTTTCTCTTGACCACCATCATGTGATTCATTAGCATAAAAAATAAAACCCGTGCAATGTGAATTATGAGCTTGGACTTCTCTAGCCAACTTAACTAAATTTTAAATCTGCACAATCTACCACAAGGTCGTGTGTTTTCACTTTTATACGTACCTGCGTTATATAAAATTTTCATTATTTTCATAATTCAATCTCAACCATCCGTTTAATTGTATGCCTCTCCCGTATAGTTTCCTATTCCGCCTTATTTTCTGATTCTTCCATTGAACACCGGTACCGAGGGCAAGGCGTAAATTTGCTTCTTCATATCATCAATTTTCTGCCCATTTGATTCGAGGTATAAAATTACCCGACGTACTTTTGCTCGATCTTGCATGCATAACCCTAATTATCTATATAATTAATACGCTGTGCTTAATGAATTCAGATCAGTGCATGCAATTACGGTATGGATTTTCTCAAAAAAGCCAAGGTGGTACGATTTCGAAGCCACCACAACAAATACCTATTGGCCGACGACGATCAAGTGTCGGTATGGCAAAGCTGCGACGGAACAGTGCAGAACACGCGGTGGACGGTGGAGCTAATTAGCGAAAATCCAAACGCATTGCGATTGAAGAGCTGTTTTGGGAAATACTTAACGGCGTTAAGTACGCCTTTTCTTCTCGGAATCAAATGTAACAAAGTCCTGCAAACCATGCCAAAGACGTTGGATTCAATAGTGGAATGGGAGCCGGTAAGAGACGGGTACGTGTGGAAGCTGAAGGCGGCCAACGGGCAATTCTTGAGTGCAAGCGGGTGTAGCGTACCGCCGTGGAAAGACACCATCACGCACGACAATCCGCGTACAGGTACGACGAGAAATTGGGTTCTGTGGGATGTGGATGTTGTGGAGATTCGAGAACAACAACAACAACAAGAACAAACGAATGTTGATAATGTCAATGATAGTTCTAGTCGTTATAGTACTACTGCAACACAAGATCCAACAGAACCAGAACCACGGTCTGTTTCGCGGTCGGAATCTTCACAAACACAGCCAGACTCTCCAGCCGTCGTTGATCTTTCGTCAACCAAAGATCGTACCAAGGATTCGGATAAAAAAAATACATAACATATATAACGTTGGAATTTTGGGATTATTAATTAGTACACATGATATGTATGCAAGAAAATCAGGGTTTTACTTGTATCATTGATGATGATTGATCAGATGATCTTCTTTCTACAAAATAGACTAAATTTCCTGACTATATATATTTACACACACGCATTACACCAATTAATTGGATTTTGCATTGAGTGTTACCTTTTCTGTAAATTTTTCATCACGAGGGCAACATGAAGCTAAGTTTTGTGTTCAGCTGAAAGAAATTTTCCAAAAATTAATTAGATATTAAGGAAATTGACTGTAGTTTTTTTTTTTTTTTTGTATTCTATCCACACATCCATTTTTGCTTCTCACATCACTCTCTCAATTTTCGGTCATCAGATCAAATGAGTTGGAAAAAATAAATGGCCACAAATTACAAGGTGTGTGAGAGGTAAAAATGAGTGTGTGGGAATATATAGCATTTCCTTTTTTCATTAGTACAATTGTATTTTAGATAAAGAATCTCACTAATATTGATGATTAAGCGCTTTCAAGTAAACGTTTAGTTTATAAAAATAATTAATCAAACCTAGAAGTACCTCTACAATAAATTTGAAAAAGAGTAATGTTAAGGAGACTAAATTGTTGATAATTGGATTATTACTTAAGCGTTGATAAACGTGCATTTCTTATTGGTAACACATCATTTGGTTTACAAATTTTGTCTCTCTAACATCACCCTATGAAAAAAGTCACTAACATTAATTGTACAGAATAAAGCGCGTCAGCACTAAATAACCCCTTAAATATTAATATGCTTTTTAGCCACCTCATTATAAACCTTTTACCCACCTTATTTTGTGCAATATCAGTATTTACAATCTATTTTTCTTGTTCTCCCACTAAGTTGCAGACTTGTCGATATGTTCCAAGAGAATATCAATATGCATTTGGTTTAATATCCTTGTAAATGATCTTGGGTTCAAAACTTCCTCTTAATAATAGTATAAAAAAAGAGTATCAATACAATTGCACAACTTAATGGGAGCCCTATATATAGCTTCTAGCTAGTAGTTCAAGAGAAAATCATACTTGTTTGTCACTTTTTTTGTAGATTTTTTTTTTTTTCAACTAAGAAAAAAAGTAAAAGTTTATCTTTGTAATAGAAAAGGATATATATATATATATATATAGTTTCCTTAATTTCCTCAGCCTCTGTCAACCGTTGCCTCTAATTCCTTCCCCTTCACAAACACATAACGCAAGGCGCGAACTTGCTACATATCATTTCCCCTTTTAGTTCAAGGGTACAAATCACTTTGAAAATTTCAGACGAAAATACAAGCGAAAACTCGTAATTTTGACAATTAACGTTGTTCATTTTGTTCAATCGATCTCTCTGATGTTTTTATGTGCTTAATCACAGCACTTGATCGGTCTTATTGTTTCATAGAGGTACACATATGGAGTTTTTCAAAAGAGCCAGAGCAGTACGCTTCCGGAGCCACCACGACAAATATCTGTTAGCAGACGAGGATCAAGAGACTGTATTCCAAGATCGCGATGGCACGGTGAAGAATGCCAAATGGACGGTGGAGCTTGTCGAAAATGCAAACACTTTACGGTTCAAAAGCTGTTATGGCAAGTACTTAACAGCCTCTAGCTTGCCATTCCGTCTTGGATTGCGAGGCAAGAAAGTTCTGCAAACCCTGCCAAAGAGATTAGATTCGTCCCTGGAATGGGAACCTATAAAAGAAGGACACCAGGTCCGGCTCAAGACGCCCTATGGTCAGTTCTTGCGCGCAAATGGGGGCGTACCACCTTGGAGAAACTCTGTCACCCATGATGTCCCACATAGAACTGCATCCCAGGATTGGGTTCTGTGGGATGTAGATGTTACAGATATTCGGGTTGAATCGCCAGAACGTCACCCGGTGGCGAAACCCCCTCCTCCACCACCAGATGCATTACTTTCGGAGTCTTCAGCACCTTCAGAACCGACATCTCCATCTGAGATTGACCTTAGAACGCCGAAGGCTTCCAAACGGGAGGTTTGTTTTAATTAACAAATATGACTTCTATGACTATCAAGTTTAATTATATTTTGGCTTCTTATTGTTTGTTCTTAAACGCAGTCAAGCAAGTCATTTGATCATGATTCGCCGAAGAAAGATCCAGGGAGAATGATCTACTATCATGTGGCTAATGAGAAAGGAGACGTTGAGGATTCATCGGAAGAGTTTTCCTTCCCATTCAAGGGTAGTGATGTAGAGGGGTTGAAGCAAAAGTTGAAGGAAGAAACCGGGCTGGAGGAAATTGATGTGTGTTCACGCAATCCTCTGAATGGACAACTATATCCCCTTCGCTTGCATCTTCCTCCAAACAACCATGATATGCATATCGTTGTAGTTCTGTCATTGTCCGAAGGTTAGAATTGTTTCAAGGGGTTTTCATGTCTTCATCTTGATAATTCTAAAAAAGTTTGATATGTCCGATTCCAAAAAAGCTTACTGAAACAAAAGTATTTTGTACCAAATTTGTTGATCACATTGTTAAACACCTCTCTCACGGATGTGCAATTTACACGGAACCAACCTATAAGTGGGTTTCACCTCTGTGAGAGACGTGATCGGTGAATGTGATAAATGTGTGTTTCTTATAGTACGTGCACACATTTAACGAAAATGTACGTTTATTCCTAGTTTTTCGCTTTATATTTGTGGTTAACTATGATTGTCTTCTGCCCTTCACAAGCAGGAAGTGAACTTGACTGAATTTGCAAAACCTGTTAACATCAGATACCGTCTTGTTCATATTCTGCACATTCAGCTCCATAACTGCTCAAATTTTTAGAGTACAGATAGGAAAGGAAGTAGCACTTCATGCAAAGAAGCAAGGAAATGTTGTTCGCAGATTTTTTCAGTAAATTGGTTCTTCAATTATTTCAGGGCCTGATGGATTTACTTTATTCAATTTTCGATTTCTTGATGTATGAGAACAAAAAACAAGTCTAATTTAGCAGGGCCAATTGTATTTCAACTGTATGTTTCCTAATGTGAGGTTGAAGTTTGTAACTGAGATCAGTAAGTAGAATACATATGCAGCCAATTCATCTCTAATCTCATTTAAATACAAGATATAATTCATGGAGTTGATACATCAGGAAATCGTGTTATGGTGCTACCAACTCTCCTAATGTTTCCATGATTAGATAGATAGAACTAAGGAAGCAGATTTATCGTCATACTAGTCTTTCTTGCCTTTTTTTTTTTTTTTTAAGGTTGACATACTAGCCTTTGTTGCAGGTGGTGATCAACGGCAACATAGTTATCCAAGATCGAATCCTGCAACGATTTTATCTCCAAATTTTAAATATTTTTTGGCACACTTTTCATCGAAATGCTTGTGGGTTAACGGGTTAATAACATGGAATAAGATATGCAGGATGTAATTGTTCATGGGAAAGAATTTTACGTACCCTCTTCTGCCTCATTCAGAGTGATGAGAATATTTCCCAATCAATCTCATCAAGTCAAACCATGCATCTTTAGTCAGACATAACTTTGAAGAGAACACTTGAGCAACAACAATTTAGGGCAAGTACCGACGGGCAATGAGAAGTCATAATCCTTGAGGATTCGCTATCCGGAAGGACCAGAACTGTCCGCATTAGGCATGCAGACCCTTCAATCCTGAGTTAAGTCAGCAGATATCAGCTCCAGCTTTGCACATGTCTGTGCTCGGTGTGAATGTGATACGTCTCCTGAAACAAACTCATTAACTTTTACATCCACCTCTATCATACTGCATCTGGTGTCTTCTTGGTTCATCATTCACCCATCATCTTTCTTCTTTATCCTAACTGCATCTTTACTTCTCCGTGCACCCAAATAAATGTTTGATAACTGAACATAAGCACCGGCTTCTTCTCCGCTGTCCTCATTTTTCTAGATGTATAAGTTCAACAGAAAGCTCTGCAAGATCAACATTCTTATGGACTCGACACCCACTAAGAAAAGAACCCCAGACAGATGCAAATGGCTTTATGCGCATTCTTCTAATAAGCTGAAGTGATTCTTCTAGCTGACCTGCCTTGCAGAGCAAGTCTATAACACAGCTATAATGCTCATGTTTCGGCACAATGCCATAATGAGTTTTCATGTTTTCAAGCAGAGATTTGCCCTTCTCGAGGAGACCTGCATGAGTACAAGCCATTAGCACTCCAAGGACCCCCCATCGAGCCTGAGGCCATCCTCCATCTGCATTGTCTCCAAGCAACGAAAGGCTTTATTTGCATATCCGTGTGCTGCAAACCCTCCAATCATGGCTGCCCACGAGACTGCATTCCTTTTCGACATTCCCTTAAGGGCTTCCACAGCCAAATCAATATAACCACACTTGCCATACATATCAAGGAGCGTAGTCCGCAGTGGCGAAGCCATGAATTTTTAGAGAGACGGGCGGGACTTCAAATGGTAAAAGGTCCTAAAAAATTTAGACAACCAAACTCATTTATAAGCTAATTAAGAACATGAGCTTATCCAAGACCCCATTTCATATGCATATTGTTTCTTCACTCTTTTTTATTCGTCATTTCTTTCATATATCTACATATTTCTCCTCTATTTATTCACACAAATATTAAAACACAATAATAATCAAACGGGCACCTCCACAAAAGCCTATCTAATCAAGCTAAAATGTCAAAACACCCACAATCCAAGATTTTAAGCTTGCATGTAGTCCAATATCCTAATGGAGTGTCTTATGCGTACCGGTTTCGAAACTCCTCCTCTAAATTATTGTAATATTATTGAATTCTCCCTCTCACCTAAATAATAATAAAATTTGAAAGAAAAGTGAGTTTAAACTGTTGGATGCTAAACACTTCCAGGTGGATCGAGAAGGGATGCAGCAGCAACATCAAATGAAGCTAACGGCTAGTTTTTTAATTTGTAACGGCTAGTTAGTTTTTTAGTGATAGTTTTTTGACAAGTGTAAAGCTTAGATTAAAAGCTCCAATGAAGGGCTTAGATTAGCTTTGTACTATCAGGTTGTTGTGGTTTTTGTTAGCTAGCTCCAATGGAGATAAAGACTGACTGTACACACCAAAACCCTACTGACACCATATATATATGGGTGCTATGTGCTGCTGCAATGTAAGACTGCATATAGCCGAAATTCCCCTTTCATATTTCTGTGAAGAACATTACCATTCTCCATAACACAAACCTTTCAAAACAATCATACAAAACATAAACCTTATAAAACACTAACATGGCCTCAGAGCCTAGTTCCTGATCTCAGAAATCTGGGCGTTGTGGAATCTGTATTTGGGGTTGTTCAGGTCGAGGCTGAAACCCTAGGTGTCAATACAAGTCGAAGATGAAATGATCTGTAGGTGGCGATCTTAAAGCTCTAATCTTTGATGGAGAAAACTACGACTATTGGAGGATCCGGATGACAACCATCTTCAAGTCGTATGATCTCTGGGAAATGGTTCAACATGGATATGAACTACCAGAAATGGAGATTGATGTTTTAGAAGAGGATCTTACAGAGAAGCAAATAGCTACACTGAAAGAGAATAGGATGAATGATGCTAGAGCGTTGGGAATCATTCAAGGGGCTGTCTCAGACTTCATTTCCCAGGATAGCAAATGAAGAAACTGCTAAAGCTGCTTGGGATACTCTGCAACAAGAATACATAGGAGATGTGAAGGTACGGAAAGTAAAACTCCAGTCTCTTAGACGTGATTTTGAATATACACGCATGAGAGAATATGAGCCACTTAAAGACTATTTTTCTAGGCTGTTTGATGTTGTGACTCAAATGAAAACTTATGGAGAAGAACTGCCTAATGAAAGAATAGTGCAAAAGCTTCTAATTAGTTTGACTAAGCCTTATGACTCTATTGTGAGTGTGATAGAAGAAACTAAGGATACTGATACACTCAGTGTGCAAGATGTGATGGCTTCTTTGAGAGCTTTTGACCAAAGGCTCGAAAGACATGTTGATGGCACAACTGAGAAGGCTTTCTAGTCACTTAACATAGGGGCTTCTAGTCATTCTAATCAACATCAAAACAGACCGAGGAAAGATTGGAAAGGAAAAAAATAAGAAATGGGAAGGAAGACCAAGTGGGGAGAATAGACACAACAGTGGTGGTAAAATTAAACCATTGTGCAAATACTGTGATAAAGCACACTTTGGTGAATGTTGGTTCAAGGGAAAACCAAAATGTCACAAATGCAATAGATTTGGTCACCTGCAGAAAGATTGCAGATCAAATACTACTCAGCAAGTGGACATTGCAAATCGAGTACAAGATGAAACAAATGTTTTTTGTGCTTTTAGTGCCAGTGTTGTAAAAGATAGTAAAGTTTGGTATATAGACAGTGGGTGCAATAATCATATGACTGCCCACGAGTCTCTATTGACAAACACTGACACTACATATACTGGAAAAGTAAAAATGGGAAATGGCAACATTGTGGAAGCAACTGGCAGGGGCACTCTCATCATAGAAACCAAAAGAGGAAGAAGACACATTAAGGAAGTCATGTTGGTACCTGGTCTGGAGGAAAACCTTTTAAGTGTTGGACAGATGATGGAACATGGTTATTTCTTGCTGTTTGGAGATACTATGGTTGAAATATATGATGATAGAACTCTGTCGAATCTGGTTGTGAAAGTTCAAATGAAAAACAGAAGCTTCCCATTATTGCTAAAGTGCTTGGAAGAAGTGGCAAGAAAGGCAAGCACAATTGACTCAGAGAGATTATGGCACAAAAGATTTGGACACTTGAATGTGCAGAGTCTGAAAAACCTGCAGAAACATGAAATGGTGCAAGGTTTGCCCCAACTAGATGAAATGAATGAAGTTTGTGAAGGCTGTGCATTTGGAAAACAACACAGGGACAATTTCGAAATTGGAAAGGCTTGGAGAGCTGCAAAACCACTAGAACTAATTCACATTGATGTGTGTGGTCCAATGAAGAATGCATCCATCAGTGGGAACAAGTATTTTTTGACTTTCATAAATGACTACTCAAGAATGTGTTGGGTATATTTTATGAGATTCAAATCAAAAGTCTTTAATATTTTCAAGAAGTTTAAAGCAATGGTGGAGCTGCAAAGTGGGTATCAAATCAAGAAGATAAGGAGTGATAGGGGAGGTGAGTATACCTCACTGGAATTCAATGCTTTCTGTGAGGAATTAGGTCTAGAAAGGCAACTCACAGTAGCATACACTCCTCAACAAAATGGCACTGCAGAGAGAAAGAACAGAACTATAGTGGAGATGGCAAAGTCCATGCTGCATGAAAAGAAAATGCCCTATTCATTTTTGGGAGAAGCTGTGAACACTGCTGTGTATATCTTGAATAGATGTCCCACCAAAGCTTTGGAGAAACGAACACCATTTCAAGTGTTCAGTGGAAGAAAGCCTGGAGTCAAGCATTTGAAAGTTTTTGGCTCTGTGTGTTATGCACTTGTGCCATCACAACTCAGACATAAATTACAAGAATCCAGCAACAAGTGCATCTTTGTTGGATATGGTACAAATGAGAAAGGCTATAGATTGTACAACTTGAAAACTCAGAAAATCAATCTCTCAAAAGATGTGATTTTTGATGAAGAAACATTGTGGAATTGGGAAACAAAAGCAGTGGAAGAAGACAAAGTATCATTGCAAATTGGTGTTACTGAACAAAGAACTGCACAAAATGGAAGTGGTGCAACTCATGAATCTGAAGAAGGAAGCATACAAAGCTCTCAGATTTCACCATTTCAAACTCCTCAAAGTTCACAAAACTCAAGTGCAAGTTCAATGTCTCAACAGGAAGAGCAACAAAGCTCAAGCTCTAGCTCGGGATTAACACCAATTAAGATGAGAAGCTTGGATGAAATCTATGCTACTTGCAATTTTTGTGTTACTGAACCAGAAACTTTTGAAGAAGCTGAAAGTGACAAGGCATGGCAGATAGCAATGGAAGATGAAATCTCAATGATAGAGAAAAAATGGAACTTGGACTCTAGTTGATAGACCAAGTGATAAACCTATGATTGGTGTGAGATGGGTCTATAAAACCAAGATGAACTTGGATGGATTTGTGCAAAAGAACAAGGCTAGATTGGTGGCTAAAGGATACTCCCAAAAGCCTGGAATTGATTTTAATGAGACATTTGCACCTGTGGCTAGACTATATACAATTAGAACTCTAATTGCATTAGCTGCACAGAAAGGTTGGCAGCTATATCAGTTAGATGTTAAGTCTGCATTCCTAAATGGTGTGCTAGAGGAAGAGGTCTATGTGGACCAGCCACAAGGTTTTGAAGTCAAAGGGTCCGAAAGCAAGGTGTATAGACTAAAGAAGGCACTCTATGGCCTGAAACAGGCACCAAGAACCTGGTACAGTGAGATTGATGCACATTTCACTAAGTGTGGGTTCAAGAAAAGCCTCAGTGAAGCAACACTTTACATCAAGGTTGAAAACAAGTCAGAACTTCTCATAGTATCTATTTATGTGAATGATGTGGTCTTCATTGGAAACAGTAAGAAAATGATGGATGAATTCAGAAATGAAATGATGGGAAAATATGAGATGACAGATTTTGGGCTACTTCATCACTTTCTTGGAATGGGGGTGATTCAAAAGTCGGATTGCATTTTCATTCATCAGATGAAATATGCACAAACACTTCTAGATAGATTTGGTCTTAAGGGATGCAAACCAGTAAGCACTCCCTTAATTGCAAATGAAAAACTCAAAAGTGAAGATGGAAGTGAACCAGTAGATGCAAATCTCTACAGGAAAATTGTTGGCAGCCTGTTATATCTCACAGCAACAAGACCGGACATCATCTATGCTGCAAGCCTACTATCAAGATTCATGCACAATCCTACCAAAACACATTTGGGAACTGCTAAAAGGGCTCTCGGGTATGTGCAAGGGACAATTGATTTTGGAATCAAGTATGAGAAAGGACAGACAGCTATATTAGTCGATTTCTGTGATAGTGACTGGGGAGGCAGTGAAGATGACATGAGGAGCACATCGGGGTATGCATTTACATTTGGCTCTGGTGTATTCTCGTGGGCTTCAGTTAAGCAACAAAGTGTTGCATTATCAACAACCGAAGCTGAATATGTGAGTGCTGCAGAAGCAACATCTCAAGCAATCTGGCTGAGATTTGTTCTCAAAGATTTTGGGGAACTGCAGGTTGAACCAACTAAGCTAATGTGTGATAATACCTCAGCAATAGCAATGACAAGGAATCCAGTATTTCATCAGAAAACAAGACACATCAAAATGAAGTATCATTTTATCAGAGATGCAATACAAGAGAATGTCATTGAACTAATGTACTGCAAAACTGAAGATCAGGTAGCAGACATCTTTACAAAAGCACTACCAAAAGAAAGGTTCACTTACCTCAGAAGCCTACTTGGAGTCAACACCAGGAAGAGTTTAGAGGGAAGTGTTGGATGCTAAACACTTCCAGGTGGATCGAGAAGGGATGCAGCAGCAACATCAAATGAAGCTAACGGCTAGTTTTTTAATTTGTAACGGCTAGTTAGTTTTTTAGTGATAGTTTTTTGACAAGTGTAAAGCTTAGATTAAAAGCTCCAATGAAGGGCTTAGATTAGCTTTGTACTATCAAGTTGTTGTGGTTTTTGTCAGCTAGCTCCAATGGAGATAAGGGCTGACTGTACACACCAAAACCCTACTGACACCATATATATATGGGTGCTATGTGCTGCTGCAATGTAAGACTGCATATAGCCGAAATTCCCCTTTCATATTTCTGTGAAGAACATTACCATTCTCCATAACACAAACCTTTCAAAACAATCATACAAAACATAAACCTTATAAAACACTAACATAAACTTATTTTGCCTGAAATTTACTTGAACCGATATATATATATATATATGTATATATTAGAATAAATTGTAAGTGTTGGATTCGGTTGAGATTTGGTAAAAGGCCTCACTCTCTTTTATCTCTCAAAGAGTCCGCACTCTCTCTCTCGCACTCAGACCTCTCGAATCGTTTATGCACTCTCTTGGTCTCTCATTTCCTCCTCCGCTCTATCAACAGACTCAACACCTCTCTAATCTCTCAAATCATCCCTACACTCTATACTCTCCTCCTCCTCCTCATCCATCTGTCGACAGACTCAACACGTTGGCCGTTAAGTCATCGACCACCACACTTCTATGACTCCTCCATATTCCAGATCCAGGCTTTCTTATTTGTTATTAGTTCATGTTAGACTGGTATTTCTAGTTTACTAAAATTATTTTGGTAAATATTTTGAAACTACATGTTATGATGATCAATATTAAGATTTGCATCCATTTTGGAAATTGCAGAAGGCCCTTTTTTGTTTGTACCTACAAGTAAAGGTGTGTGTTACAGAATATCTGGAAACCAAATTTATTTGATGCATAACCTGGGACCTGGAAATTGCAAACAAAAAAGAAGAATGGATGCAAAAAAAGGGAATCACCTCTGCTGCTGCGCAGCAGAACCAGTGCACCGGAACAGGGAGGGGCTGAACTAGTCCAGTTTTCCGAAAGGGGAGAGGCTGAACCTTTGCTCCAGGCGTGTTTTTCGGAGAGGGAGGGGTGGCCACCACTCCTCGTCCTCACGTGGCTTCACCACCCAGCAAACACGTCTGACTTCAACTTTTTTTTGTTTTTAATGTACTCAGGTGGTACACCACGTGTCATTAAATAAATTGTGGGATATGTGTGCTAAAAAGTTAATAACTTAAAAAATAAAATTTTTCTCCATTCTTATTAAAATACGTGATGTACTACTTGTGTTCCTAACCTAACTAAAAATTTCTCCCAGATTAGCACAAGCCCCGTAGCAATACAAAAGTCATCAGGCCCAAACCTACGTACCAACATCTCCCCGTAGCACTTAAGTACCTTTGCCACGTAGATTTTTGACAAACTTGGTAAACAATTTCTTGGTACTTAAAACTGCTCATATCAGAAAATGTAGGAAACAACACACAAGAAT